AAAGGAAAGGCCTTGGAGGTGATACAAAGTCATGTTTCAAGGTCTCATTTTCTCTTAAGGTTTGAAAATTAGTTTTTGTTTTCTCTGTCTCTGTCTATTTGTCTCTGCCTTTGTTTCTTTCTGTCTCTGTCCATCTATGTGTCCCTGTCTGTCTTTGTGTCTCTGTGTATCTCTGTCTGTCTCTGCCCCCCTCTCTGTCTTTCTGCCCTCGCCTTACTATACCCATAGTACTCTCCACATACCAGAGGTGACTATTTTGTGTGGTATTATGAATAACTTCCTTCACTATGCATATACACAAGATTTTATATACATAACATTTCTTTTGAGTCAAGTGTAGTGGTAGACGCCTATAATACCTGAACTTAGGTGAAGGCAAGAGGCTCAGGCTTTCAAGGCTATCCTAGGCTACATGGCAAATTTGTGACCAGCTTGGGTTGCATGAGACCCAATTTCAAGGACCCTAACCCCCCAAAAGTTTATTTTAAAATACTTTACAATAACTATTTTTGTATTTTGATGTACCTGTTGCCTTTTGCCACTGTAATAATAATAATTAGCCTTGCTAAGTTTCACACATACCAGACACTATTCTGTTTTGTGACTAACTTAAGGAACTTTCTCACATTAGACTCTGATGAGCCAGTTTCCACAAATGAATTATTCATTTCATAAAATGCAATGAATGTTCAGACGTACTTAGTTGCTTTGAGAGAACCCATGACTCTTCCTCATAAATGATGCTATTTTGCCATATGAAAAACTCCCTAAAATTAAGGGACAAATCACTGGCATATAAATAGAGTGTGTCTGTATATTATAATGACATTGTATGTTACAGTTAACCAAACAACGTGTGCTTGGAGCATAAGAAATTTAAAAGTTTACATAACTTCCAGAAGAAACATGAAAACAAAACAATGGCATGGCTATATTGAAGCTATTGGGCCTGCCTGCATAGCAAATGTTAACAATGGTTCCTCTTCCCTCACAGAGGACCAGTATGAAGGAACAAATGGCATTATTTTCTAACTTAGATGAGAAAGTATTTCACATTAATTTCTGTGAGCTTACAGAGGATCCTTACAAGTAGGTAGGGTATATCGGTCATCTTGAGAAGTGATTTCCAAGATTGTTGGAGTCATTATGTCCCTCCCACTTATGAATAGAACAAAATTCAAAGAACAAGCATCACCAAACAGTTTATCATATAGCTTTGACTCACATTTACTGGTCTGAACTTCTCACATGGTCACACCTAATAGCAAGCAAGTTGTTTGGGAAAGAGGGCTGTTGCAGTTAAAGTAAGAGAATGTCATCACTAGAGGGAGTAAGGGAAGAGGGTATATTGACAGAATATTAGCAATATTTGCTGCTACAAATCTTTGCTTTATAAGTTATTGGGAGGGATAAAAAATATAGTTGTGGAGAATAGAACTGCTTTTGTGAAATACATAGAAACAACCAGAACATACTGATGACTAGAGGCTAGAAACCACTGTTAGTCCTGTGAGTCATCATTAATAGTATTTCCATGCTCACCTAAATGCGTCAGTTCCCTCCACAGTATCTTACACAAAGATTGTTTATCAGTTCAGGAATTCCTATAGTTAAATGGGATAATCTCTCTTAAAGTAGACATCCCATTTTCCCTTATTTCTGACTCTTATATTCTTATACCTACATTCTTTTATTTTGTCTCATATTAGATCTTGTCTCTAAGGAAAAAAAATTTTTCCTGTCCTACAGTAGTCCTTCACACACTTATGGGAAGGTCATGCATTTTCATGAGTTTTCTTTTTTACTAGTCATTTCTTATTCCTTCAGTAATCTCTATGAACCCATGTATCCTACTGAGCACAGCTCCCATTCCCCATTTAAATCTTATCAAGCTCCCCAGGCAAGGTGACTCATGATAGTCATCCTACATTTGGAAGGCTTCAACAGAAGGATTTCTGTGAGTTAAAAATCACCCCAAGTTTCACAGGGAGTTTGAGAGCATCTGGATTACTACACACTATCTCAAAGAACAAAAACTCACCACAAATAAGAAAGCTTACTAGACCTCAAAGCCAATCAAGAGATTGACTAGTGGCCCTCATAAACAATGTTTCCAGTATTGCATTAGAGGGCCTCCCTTACCTGACAAGTTGGTACTATAGCTTACAGAGTCTAGTACTAAATAAGATCACTTTTGTTCTTTCTCCCCCAGAAGTCTGCACAAAACCTCACAGTACTATGAAAACCAGCCAGCCAGAAAAGTTTTAGAGTTTTTCAGTCAGTTCAAGGTTGATTTTCCTATGTCCATCAGCCAAAATGAACGTCCTGTTCAGCAATAAGATCTTAGCCTCTAGGGTTTATGGACAACCAAGAACAAGGCCTGTATTACTTTCATGTTTCCGTAAATAATCACTTACGTGAAGACAAGCCATGTCTGACATGGTATTTTCATTTAGTAACATGTCTTCTAGCATGCACACAGATGAGAAGTACCTCTGTTCAAACTCATCTTAATTTTTTTTTAAAAAAAAAATAGTATTTTCTTTAGCATACAAACTACGAAGGTTTCACAAGCTTTTTCATACATCCTTGATTTTGCTTAACTTACCTTCTATTCTTTCCTTCCTCCATGTCCTGTTCCATCCCTACTTAAATTTATAGCTCACATTACCCCCTTCTATTGTATCACCTAGTGTACTATTAGCTCTTATTAAATGTTTTATGTGTTTTCAAGTTCATGTATATTTCATTTTGGTTAAGCCCTCCCCAGTTCCTCACTTCTCCATTCTCATCACTCCTCTACTCACTAGAACCCTCTGTCCCCAGCATTGCCCTCTTTGCTTTCATTTTATCTGTATTCTAAAATTTCTGCCCCCTAAATTAATCCTTTTTCTGCTATGTCTTGTTTCTAATTTACTGTATTCTACATGTACTCTATGTTAAAAAGCTTTGAAGTTAGAAACCACATACAAAAGAGAATATATGATTTTCATTTTTAGGGACCTGGGCCACCTCACTCAGTACATTTTAATTTCCATTTTTAGACCTTTTCCTGCAAAGTTGATGACTTCAGACTTCATTATAATTAAATAATATTTAATTGTGTATATGGGTTTGAAATCTGCTTCATGGAGGGATTTCATGCCTGGTACTGTCAGCATGGTCAAATCCCATGGTTAGGGAAGTCATTGGACCTAGGGAAGCACTTACTAAAGCTGTTTTTAGATGGTCATGTTGTCAAACTGACTTCTAAATATCTACGGCTATAGTAGACCTGTGCTACTACTCCTAACCTTGGTTACAGATGCTTCTATTGCAGTGGAAATCAGTAAATCCAGAGACTCATTAATGTTCATTAACTAAGAATGAACAACGGTTAAGTGTTCAGCTATAGGCAAGGTATCTTCATCAACTTTTTCCTGAATATATCTCAGAGAACATGGTGGAAGATGGAGTGGGAATAATGTAAGAACCAGAGGATGAAAAGAATACCTATAACATGCTATCCCCCAGACATGATGTGGCTGTTGTATACATGAAATCTAGGCAATTGTGCTAACCTGCAGAAGTCAAGCCAGTTGGAACTTCTAGCACAGGATGGGGAAGAGCTCCTTAGGACCCATCCCTACCTGGAGAACACTGGTAGTTGTTTGATGCCAAGAGAGGGAGAATCACTTTTCTTTATGGGGTTGTCACTAACAAGTTAGCCATGTCCTGTGGATGATTCCGTACCCATGCACATATAGGAAGCAGTAATTTGAACCTGGTGGAGTTTTTTTCTAAAGTAATTTTAAAATGAGAGAGGAAAGGAATGGAAATCCTCAAAAGTGTATAAGTGGGAGGCTGTGGAGTAGATACAACACACAGGGTTAATCTCATCACATGTGAACACTTGAGATTCCTTACCAAGAATACCATTTTCCTATGCTGTGATACAAGCATAACAGTGTTCTACTGAATCCTACTGACCTCACAAGCCTTAAAGTGTATAAACAATGCATCCTACCCTACACATCAAAACATTCATTCAAAAAGAATATATTTGCTTACACCATAGTCAAGTGTCTCTTATGGTTATACCAAAAGAAGTTTTATTCTACATGTGATAATGCAGAGTGGAAAACTGATGAAAGGAAGGGAGGCAAACAGTTGGTGGGCAGGCAAGAGAGAGCAGTAGGGGATGTAAACAAATGAGAGTAAAATATAAAGACACATGAATTTGAGAAAAGGCAAGGAAGGAGTACATTGGAAGACTTGAAGGGAGGGAAAGAAAGGGAGAAATGATGTAATTATATTTTAATTATACTAAAACAATATGAAAATATGTGGGCACAGGGCTGGAGAGAAACTGTGAGCTACTCCTTGAGTAATCATTTAATTACAATTGCAAAGTATAGCAGCAACATTTAGTAAACATCCCCCTATCTGGTTCACAGAAATTTCAAGAACAATTTTTGTAAAGTACTTGATTTCTTGCTCACAAGGATACCCACTGTGGCCTGGGCCCACTGTTTGAAACATGATCTGTCACAAACCCTCAGTACCTCTTCCATCAAAGAAGCACACAGCTGGAATTTGCATGCTACCTGATCTTTCTGCACTGAGATTCAGTATAGGTCTCCTGGGCACTATTTTTATGATGACAGCTTTTGAAGCACTTTCTCCTTGACTGAGAACATGGGAGAAATGGAGTATACTTTATGGAAAAATGCACATATTTGCAAACAAATGCGTCATTTTATTCTGTCTGTGTGTAAGGCTAGTGAACAGTATTTCTTAGACACTCTAGCAAAGTGGTGGATAGGTTCTATGCATAGTTACCAAACTTCCAGCATGAAGGATATCCATGGGTACTTTAAATGAGAAATGCATTTTCTAAGATCTTGCTGAATGGCCTTAGATTCTGAGGTGAATCTAAGCAAAACAATATCTGTACACTCTCTGAATACACAAGCAGAACTAACTGGTGAATTTGGTCTAGAAAGGAAGTTATGAATCACCTGCACGGATGCTACCTTTTCCAAAGGACTTTCTACTCGAGGAATGTTGATCATCGGCATCCGGGCCACATTGTCCCTGTGCATGTGCCCATTCTCTGGTTGTCTTCCTTTGAAATTATTTACCACGCATACAACCTAAAATTTCAGGAAACAATTGCAGTTAAGTAAGTCATGCATCCTAACCTTTTGAAGAGTTTAATAATACTCCCAAAGCAATCAAGTTTTAAAATTAGTTAAATGTTATATAAATAAAACTTTATACCCAGATTTTCCATGAATAAATTTAAATAGTTATTGCAATGCAGATAGGTTAAAGAAAATTCACCAATGAATATGTAGCAGAATGAATAATGAAAATTCTGACATTCTAAAATTTCATTAATATATGGACAATGCTCAATCTAATCCAAAATTAACAGCATAACCTTATAAAATTTCACAGCAAGCCATCCTATCCCTAATGTAGCTAACCTACAACTTAATTTTCATGCTCATTATTTCTCAGTGCTTCAATAGTATTACATTTACACTAATCCTTGGCAGTTGGCACACTCTAATATAATAATGCTGCTTTAATTATACTAGTTTATTGTCTATTGTTTCTCATATATAGGTAAGATTTGAACAATCAGAGAGATTACCAAAATAGAGGACCCTTCACATAAAGGAAATTGACCCCCATTTTAACTGATTCTATCCAAGAGGTGGAAGAATGTGAACTGAACCAGGCATGAAAATCAAGTTCCTGTAATGTTAAAAATATACATTCTAAAGGAAATGATTCTGATTTAGTGGGTGAGGAATAGGGTACAGAAGACAGAGCTTTTAAATGCAATCCAGAAGTTTTTGATGAAGATGAATCATATTTAAGAAATAATGATTTAAGCAACACAAGAAAATTAGTTCCTATGGAGAGTTTATATTAACCTCTGGGTAACATGTTATTTTTTCCCCATACTTTATGTTCTAGAATAAATAGGAGTTAATGTTAGTTTCAACCTAATATTAATTTTAAATAAAGTAAATGCTTAATAAATTGTATATTTTCATAAATTCATCAGTTGGAGACTTTTGTTAAGTATATTAACAAATGCTTATTTTGTTCCTAAAGTTTTTTTTAAAGATTTACTTTATATGTAAGATAGGTTTGCCCATGTATATGTATGTGCATCATGTACAAGGTTGTACATGATGGTCAGAAGAGGAGGTCAGATGACATGGAACTAGAGTTGCAGATGGTTGTGAGCCCACATGTGGGTGCTGGGGTCAAAATATAGGTTCTCTGCAAGAGCAGCCAATGCTCTTAACCCCAAGCCATCTTTCCAGCTACATTATTACTAAGTAATTCTAAATACTAATTAAATCTTGGTTACACACCCATTATTGAATAAAATATACAAATGCATGAAATAAGAACATATACTAAAATACTTTGTATCACAAAGTCATTGCTTTGCAAGCTGTGATAACCTTTTTTTTTTTAAACCTTCATGTCCTCTAGAAGAATTATAGGTTAAAACCATAGATAAAACCCCAATAGTGCTATTCCACAGCTTTTTCTGCTTTTACCATGATCTTTAAAGTAAGGATGGTAAATGCTTGAAGGTTGTTATTCAGTACACTTTTTATCTTATGAAGTTGTCACTTTGATGATCCCACAAAAGACTAAAAGAAGTTGATTGCTCAAGAAATAGTATCAGCAGTTAACAAGGAAAACCCTAAGAGAGACATAAATTGGGAATGTGGGGAGGGAGAAGGCAAAGCAGAAAAGAAGTGGGAGGGGAGAGCAGAACATGAGGGAATGGAATGGTTGAGATGTGGGGAGGACAGAGAGTAAGAGCACGGAAAGAGACATCTTGATAGAGGGAGCCATTACAGGGTTAGTGAGAAACCTGGCACCAGGGTAATTCCCAGGATCCCACAAGGATGACCCCAGTTAATATGCTAAGCATCAGTGGAGAGAGTGCCTGAATTCCCTTCCTTTGTAATCAACTTGATGACTACTTGAATTATCATCATAGAACCTTCATCCAGTAACCGATGGAAGCAGATGTAGAGATCCATAGCCAAGCACTTGGCCAAGCTCCCAGAGCCCAGTCAAAGAGAGACAGGAGAGATAACATGAGCATAGGGGTCAAGACCAGTTTGAGGATATCCACAGAAACAGTTGACTTGAGCTAGTAGGAGCTCACTGACTAGACTGACAGCAAGGGAACCTGCATAGGACCAAACTAGGACATCTGAATATGAGTGACAGAAATGTGGGTTGGTCAGTCTGTGGGACCACTGTAGTAGGTAAAGGATTTATCTATAGTGTATGAACTGGCTTTTTTGAGCCCATTCTCTTTAGAGGGATACCTTTCTCAGCCTAGATAGAGTAGGGAGGGCCTGGATTCTGTCTCAAAGTAATATGCCAGATTTGGTGATTTCTCATGGGAAACCTAACCCTCTCTGGGGAATGGAGGGAAGGTAGGTGATAAAAAAAAATTAGCATTAAAATATTTTGTCCAGAAAGGGAAGATATTAAATACAGTGGTAAATATTTTTGGTGTTGCAGAGAACATAGGCAGCTATTCCATTTGCTCAACAGAGAGACATGTTGAAATTATGATAAGCTTCCCTTACTAAACCAGGTAAAAGGTCCAATTTGGTGTACAGGATGGACTTTGATGAATGAACATTGTTCTAACACACAAAGGATAGATTTTGTGACTTTGGACAACGATTGTGATGACATAGAGCTTCACATCCATATCCTAACACACACACACACACACACACACACACACACACACACACACACACACTTCCAGCAATCACTCTTCTATCACATATTCATGGAAGATCCCTTACTTCAACTCAGAGTTCACCAAACACACTGTTCTATCTAACCAGCTTGTCCAAAGGCATTTTTGTCTCAGCCTTCCATGTGCTGGGATTACAGACACCCACATTGCTCACCCAGCATTTTCATAGGTTCTGGAACTCCTCATGTGCAACAAGTACTTTGTTACCTTGCTTTCCCATGGAAGTCTTCCCCTAGCCCTGGGCTACGCAAGCTCTCTGTGTTTCTCTATGCTCACACAGAACTCTGCCAGGGCATCAGTCTCAGTATGATATTTCACACTGGATAAGGAAGTACTTCAGTTCATGTCTCTTCTAAGAATATAATGCATAAATCAGGAAACCTGTCTGAAGTTTGCTGCCTCTGTACCCAACTGTCACTGTGAGTAACATAATTCATGAATGAGAACACTAATGAATGAACATACATCCTGGTCACAAACTGTCTAATTTAAAATTTTATGGTATATGTCTATAATTTAATTTCCTTTCAAACACTGTAGTTTTATATCAATGGCTTCCACTCATGTAAGTCTATATTTTCCTAGAAATATTACACCAATTAACCACTACAAGACATATTTTTGGTTTCTCTACATTGTATTAATAAATTTTTATGTATTCACTTTTTTCTTCCCATAATTATTGCATTATGAACTTTGTGGAGTCAAACAATATTGGCTCCTAATTTGGGGTTCTTTTATATACTAACTTTATGAGCAAAGACTATGCTCCAAATCTTTAATATAACTAGGTCTCACTTTTTAATATGCAAAATTAAGGCAACATATCTCAATAAAATGCTGTAAGATTGTTTCTCTTACATAAAATAGCATGACGAGCTATTACTGGGATCAACAAAGCTGAACACTTCCGCCTAACAATTCTGTGTATCATATCTGGAAGAGGTTTTTAAAACATCTATTTTTAATAACAATAATGCTCAATCAAAAACTACTGTTCAAGAAGTAGTTGATTTGTATTTTCCTAAGCATGATGATTCTACTCTTTACCCTTGAGAAAAATATACAGGGATGAGGACAGATTTAGAATACAAGATAATTCCTTATAGAGTATTAACAGTACAGACTGATACACAGTAGAAATTAAAGAAGAAAATGAAAAGTGGGTAATGAAGTTACTGCTTAGGAAAATTGGGTGTTGTTGGTTCCAAATGTTTGCTATGTAGAGGATTGGAATATAGGTATAAGGAGTGAGCATGCTAAGCAGTGCAACAATGCTATGCTTACTACACGTGGAATTTCATCCAGCCTTTTAAAGAACTAAGGGTAGCAAATTAAACAGTAATTCATTCATTTTACCCATATACAAGATCCTATTACAGATGCTTGAAAAGATAAGCTGTGAACAAATAAACTAGTATTTCTCCACAAAGGCTTATTTGCAAAAGATGTATGGTAAAACAAAAACATTGGAGAAACACAAAGAAAAAGATACTGAGGAGAGGAGATGTTCTGAGTGTAGCTTGGGGAAAGGTTTAACTCTCTTTGGAGTAATTGGGAGATGTGAGTGACATGTGCAGGGTGGCACATACGCAAAGGCAGTAAACAGATATCCCATTTTCTCATTTGCAACTGAAATACACAGAAAAGGAATTTCCAGAGAACAAATATGTAAGAAGGGCAGGATTGTTTTGGATAAGGGAAAAAAAGATGATTATGATTCCAAGACCTGGATTTATGTGCACAGTGAAAAGGATAAGATACATTTCACTAGGAATTAAGCAATCAGATCCTTGTGGGCCCTGGAAGTGTATGGAGTTGAGGCATCAGGGAAAATTTTGTTTTGTCTTGTTACTGACAATGAATTACTACAATATAGACAAAACCAGCAAGGTGGTGGTGTGAAGGATGTCTGAAATAAAGGGTCAGTAAGAAACTGCAGCTGTACATGAGAAAGGAAGCAAGCAGTTCTGTTTTGAAGGACTCATATAGGACACAGAGGAATAATTTGCTAGCAAAAATGAACTTGAGGTAGATGAATCACTGGTTGTGGAGGATGAACTAGAGAATGAGTAGATATAAATGCTAGGTATAGTTATTGGATGATGAGTGGAGGTATCTTTGAATTAAGACAGAGGCTAGGAGTACACTGATGTTAATTTTATTTTGAAATCATTTTAGAATCTTGAAAACACTGCAAGATAATTGCAGGACATTTGTAAGCCGGAGTTGGAGTGGCTGAACAAAATAAATGCTGTACTGGGTTATCCAAATGAGAAATTTGGGAGTCATAATAAGTTTCCTGTACCTCATCCATATCAACTTGTGTTCCCTCAGGCTATATTTCTTCCTGTCCCTCCAAAGGCTCTCCCTTCTCTTTCTGTCTCTGTGGTCTAGTTCACACTATCTTATTTCCCTGGTTCTTCATAACATGTCCCCTTGATCTTCACCTGCAATTTTATTCTAGAGCATATTTTTAAAGCACCAGTCTCATATGGTACAAGGTAGTGAGTGGTGACAAGCTATCATTTATGGAATTGTACTTCACTTATTCCCGGGGCATTCACTAAACCTGTACTATTTTGTTTATACCTCTGTAAGTTCAAGCTTGAGTCTTTGGGAGGTTGTGATTATCCTCATTTAAAGAGGGATGCTGAAGCACAGAAATGCTCAATAAAGCACTCAATGGGAAAAATTGAGTACACAAAGACACTTGACCTAAAACAGACCAACTCGATTTCTCCTGGTTTAAAGGCAGGAGCTACTAACTCACCTACATTTTAAACAAAAGTCCACATAATTCTCCTGGCACACAAAACCTTTCCATCCCTGCTATCATTCATAATGGGAGACTGGTACCATTCCAGAATGCTATGCTATGCTTTCATATGCATAAACCGTGTCCTGGGCCTGCAGTATAGGAAGGGCTCCATGCTTGATGTTCTTATACAGCCTTTGATTTTTATCTCTGTGTCCCATGCTTTGTCATTCTTTACACAGAGTCTAAACCTGTGCTCTTTATAACCTTCCCAAGTCCCTATTGGTAAATAGTGCTTAATACCCTATAAAGTTCCATGCCTGTTTCTTTTCCTACTGGATGTAGCATGTTTAAGTATCTGAGCTCTTTCTCTCTTTTTTAAAGATATTCACATTATCAAGCATACTGCTTGTATAGAATAGGGACTTTATTGTGTTTTATTTTAAGATGGATGGGAGGGAAAAGGAGTCTAAGGGAATAGACTAATCCCCAAACAAAACTCTAACTCATACTGGAGACAGATCATATTTATATGATTATCCTTGGTTCATCAGTTGTTATCTATAGGTACTCACACTCACAGATGTTCATTAATGAGAACATAATGCACGTTTAGTTTTGTGGTTGAAGCACCATTTTGGTGTGCCCTTTTCATTGAATCCTTTTCCTTCTGTGTCATAATATTTGACGGACAATTTTAGAATTGTGTAATGTACATTCTTAGATTGAGATGCACAGTAAAGGGGCTTGGGCTCAGGGAGACCCATAGGCTAGCTCTTTATTGTGTTCTCAGCCTGGGACATGTCTGAGAAGACACTAGGATTCTGGTTTTAAAGGATCTGGGTAAGGCCCTAGCTAAGATGCTCTCTGAGAGTACAGAAAGATTGCAATGGCCACAACAAGAACAGCAGGAGGCTGATGAGGTGCCAGGGGAGCCGAATGCCATGACATCATAATAATTTCCATCACATTTTAGTTTTATTTTATTTCTTTTAGATGCTAACCAGCTTCAACTGTAATGAAGTTTTTGGTTGTTTGTTTTGTTTTATTTTTGTGTTTTGGTTGTTTTTGTTTGTTTGTTTTTTGAGACAGGGTTTTTCTGTGGCTTTGTCATAGAACTAGGTCTTATAGACTAAGCTAGTCTCCTACTTACAGAGATCTACCTGCCTCTGCCTCCTGAGTGCTGTGTTTAAAGCTGTGCACCACCACCGCTAGACTCTGTGATGAAGTTTTTGATCCATGCTTTGTCCTGAGTTTCAGGAGGCATCAAGAGAATTCAAAGAGACAGAAGAGAGGGGGCATTAAAGGATAATGTGGTCCAAGTCTGTTGCTGTATTTGGGTGATGAAATTTAGCCAAAAGTACGTGCAAAATTCAACATTAAACAATTTGTATCTTATCTAGGAGTGCACCTGTAACCAAGCAAGTGAATCTCAGCTATTCAGATCAGCTCAATCTCCACTCAGAGGCCACGAACTGCCAGAATATTATCATAAAAAGCAAATGCTGAGGGGAGCCAATCAGGTTACTTAGTATCCCTTCTTTCACTGTATTTGCAAATTCAGTCTACAATAGAGAGGAATGTCTGAACTAACTGTTCAACTATTCTCAAATATTTTTTAAAACTTTAGATCCAGAGTCTTCCAATGACCTTGAGATTCACAGTGAATGGTGTTACAAGAAAAACAAGTAAGAAATGAAGCTCAAGATGTGGAGTAGACATGAGGTCATGCCCATCAGTTTCCTACAGGAGTTTTTAGAGGAAGCACATTTCCAATTCTACGCACATAAATTGTACTCAAACATAAATGAAAAGTTCACATACATGTTTTGCCTACTGATTGTTAACTAAAGAAAAGAGGATGAGAGAGGAAGAAGCAAATATAGTGAAAACAACTCACACCGAATTAAAATGGAAGTAAAGTGTTCTTAAGCTATAATGTGTCTCTGTAAAAGCCTTTTGATTTATAAACTATGCACTTGGTTATCTGAGTAGGATAGTATATACCCCCACAAGCAATGGGTGGAAATATTTTCACTCTAATAAACAAAGCCCCCACAAGCAATGGACAGTTAAATTTTCACTCTAATGAACAAAATTATAGGTACATGGCAAATATATGTTTTAGCAGGCACACAGGTAGCACTCCATGCAAAGGCTCTGCAACTTATCTTTGTAGAAGACATGACCAGGGATGGTAGTGTCCCTATCATAGTCTTTGACTATTTCGGTCCCTGAGGTGAAGTGATTCATCTTACAATCCTATGAGATAGGAACATGTGTGGCATGGATCTCATGGAGTGCATAGACTGAAAGCATGAGGCACTTGGGTCCTTAAGAACATTTTATTTAATACACAAGAGGTAAACTATTCTTAGGAATTTTGTAAACACACAAACAACTCAGTCTACAATACTAATTTAGGAAGGACAGGTGAGATGATTTAGTGGATAAAGGTACTTGATGACCTGAGTTTTAACACTTAGTCCTCACATGGTGGAAGAAAAGAATCAACTCTCACAAGTCGTTCTTTGGACCTACACATGCAAGCCATGGCACATGCATGCCCCCCCATAAACAAATGTAAAATACTATTTGAGAAGGACTGTTTTTAGTTCTGCTCCATTTTGTATGAAAGTATTTTAAGTGTAGAATTTATTTGCTATTCCTACTCAAACATAATCTTAAAAAAATAAATGTAAGAAAGAAGAAATGAGTAATCAAAAACATACATATTACCATATAATATATCCCAATCCTTGCATTTTCTTAGACATAATATTCAAGTTTATCAAAAACAAACATATTTTTTTAAATTGTACTTACCAGAAATACTGCTATAGATATTCCAACTAGAAAGCCTGCTATCACATCTGACCAATGATTTCGATATTCTGCTACTCTGTTGAGTCCAGTAAGAAAGGCCAAACACATTAATCCCAAGCATAGAACGGGCTTAGCAAGTCTGGTGCCTTTTGCTTTGATAGTGTTGGTAATGTACATCTGAAATAGCAAATAGAACAAGACTTTTGACAAAAGTATTTTCTTGAGATACACATAAAGTACATTATGTATAAATTACAAAAATATGTTTATCAACTATATATGACTGTGTGATTTTAATAATCAACTATAGTTTGTGATTCTTATAATTTAAAAAAGTTGGCTGGCTTCCAACTCCCTATGTAGGGAGAGCTGACCTTGAAGGCTGGGATTATAGATGGGTGTCAACACACCTGAAATGAAATTTTTGATAGGCAGTTGTGAGCAGTGGGATGGTAGTGCCGGAAACCAACTCAGTGAACTTAACTGCTAAGCCATCTCTTTAGTTCTATAGGAACCAATTCTTATACAGCAACATCAGTTATCTATGGACATGAGCACAGTTATTTATTTCATATCCTCCTAGAATTACTTTTAAAATTACAGCTCTCCTACCCTCCATCCCATAAACATTACTAACACACTTTTGTTTCACCTGAATTTACGATAGGTCACTCTCAACATTACTGTTACAAGGGGTAAACTGATTATGCACTGGTGTTTCCATTTGTATGAGTTGTACTTGTTTGAATCAGAATTAAAAGTAGCTAGAAAAATTAAATGGGAATTTCTTCCAAACTAAGATGACTGTGAAGAACGTAGTCCATACAGTGAACACCCAAGGCTGGCCTTCATGTTGTTATCTGAAAGCATGAGATTAAATGGTAATGATGGGAGATGTCATTCTGTAAATATGTCTCTCATACTGGTTAATGAATAAAGCACTGTTGGCCAATAGGAAAGCAAGATAGGTGCAACTAGGAGACAAGGAGGATTCGAGGAAGTAGCAAGTAGGAGTCAGCATGTAGAGATTGGAGAGAGCAGACACCAGCCCCACTCTCTGGTAAAATGAGACCACGTGGAAATACTTAAATTAATAGAAATGGGTTAATATTTAAGACAGAGCTAACCGATAAGAAACTAGTAACCGGCCAACAGCATTATATCTAATACAGAGTCTCTGTGTGTTATTTGGGGATGGTGCTGTGGTGGGTCCAAGCCGGCGGGAAAACTATTCCTGGCATGATAATAAAGAACACATAGTGTCAACTTGTTATGGTGAAGAAAATATAACCAGGTTGTGAACCAGCATGACCAGGAATAATTTGTTTCTTCTCCAAATATCACTTATTCTGTAGTTTTCTTTCTCCTAACTTGAATCACATATCATTCTTTTAACAAACCTGTTGAATTCAAGTGAATGGTGATATCATTCAAGTCAACAAGACAGGAAGTGTGGAAGAGGAAAGTTTGAAAGTACAACTAGATTAATGGTATTTGTGTCAATAAATAACAGGTACTGATAACTCACTCAGAAAAAAATAGATGGATATAATCCATTATATTCTATAATTTTGACTATTACCGTGAGTCTTGCTTATGAGAGTACACTAAAGAGCTGTGTCTAAGCCTATAGTTCATAATGATCATTTTAGAACACTACGATATCCAGTAATTACCTTTTTCTCAAGGCATTGTTTTCAGCTTGTTAGCTGCCAATAGGTGTATGCATGCATAAGCAGTTCAAACAATTCTAGTCTTCCCCATGGCCAAGTTCTAATCCTTTGTAGTTTGTCTCAGGGCTTAATATTCTCATTGAAATATAAAAAGAAAGAAGAGGGATTGTCTCAGTTGGCCAATGACATTTGGAGTAAGGTTTGTAGATTTTTAAACCTTAATATTTCAGTTATAGAGAACAGGGATTCACAGGGAGAGATGAGAAAGGTTAAAGGATGGTGTTGCCCTTCTGAAACAAAACAAGAAAGAACTGTGCCCATAGGAATAACAAGGGCATCAGGCCAGTGGAGCTTTGTAGGGATGCTGTTGATAGGGTAATCCTTCTTCTGAATTTGTACTGTTCACGCAATTTTCTTTAACAAAGACACAAGGATGGCTCATAATTCTTCACCTTTTCATTTCTTCACATCTGGAAAACTCAAAGTGACGTACCCTTATTAGAATAAATGTGCATTAATTGAATGATGTGAATCATGCTAATATTTATCAGATTTGTCATTTAGTAAGCAGTTCCTGTCGAAGGCAATGTTTTCAAGCCAATGTCTCATTAAGTCTTTAAAATAATCCTATAAATTGGATATTATGATTACCTCCATTATATAAATGAAAAAAGCAGATCAAGATAGTTTATTGTAGACCACACAACTTTATTTTGATGGTGAAAATATTGGCAAAGAAGAAATGGGACTATAAACAAAGGACTTTAAACACTTCCTGATCATAGGGCTTCAGCTGGTCTTACCTGTATTCCATTTCCTTCACTGAGTTATTTTTGGGGTGGGGGAGATGGTGAAAAGGTTTAAACAGAACTTCAGAAAATGCAAGACAGCTGGGAGTATACATGAGAGAAAAATGTCACCATAGCATTCTAAGAGTAACAAAATGGCTGGCTCCATTATTAAATATAGAAAATGCAAAAAAAAAAAAAAAAAAAAAAAAAAAAAGGCAAAATCTCTACAGATTCTCTGTGGTTTTGGTAAATGCTTGCCATCAGCCCCCAAGTGCCATCTCAGATACAACTTTACTTAGTCAATTCTGGAGGTCCAGACAAATTATTGGCTTGTGCTGTAGCTGCTTTCAGTTCAATGATGACTCATTTCTTGAATTACACTACCACTACTGACTTAAGAAGACTTACAAGGAGCCCCAAATGTAGCCCATATGTAAACTAAGGAAAATGTGCCTCTATTAGAAGAAATTCAAGTTTGATTTATCTTCTGTTAATTCCAAGGCTAAAGTCCAAAGCTAGAATGGAATGTAAGAATCACAGGATTGCAGAGCTATGAGAATTACAAAAGTTACAAAAATTTTACAAGCCATAAATATAACATTAAAATTGATCATAGCAATGCTTTTATAAAGTACACATGTTGAAGTATAACCACCATGAATATAACAAAAGACAAATTATAGAATGTTTCATTTGAACTTGGCAACTCTGCAGTACTTTATGACAAGAGCCTTTTAAATAGTCTATTTGTGTTTTCCTTGCAGAAAGTCTGTTATAGCTAATCTACAGAAGGGAAAATCATAGCATAATGATCTACCAAGGAAGCTAGATAGAGGACAGAAATTGATTATTTATGCTTTCTTGGTTTCTAATTCACTTATGAAATCATCTAGGTTAACCAGCTGTCAAAATGTAGCTAAAACAAACACAAACAGAAGGTGGATGTGATTTGAGCCAAATGATGCTCCCTCCATCCTCACGGGTCTGCGGATGCTAACTAGTTCACAGCTAACTCATTTAGCTGTATTGTCCATCCTTATTTACCCATTCCATGCAAGAAGATGCAGGAAGCCAAAGCTTATCATTTCATTCCTGTTAATATCCCACTACACATTCTTTAGTGTTTCTTTTTGCGTATATAAATATATACAGTAATACACAAACAGAGGGTTTTGCTAACCAGTTCACATTTACTAAAGTGTAGTTACAATGCCCCATTATTCTGTATTGTAGGTTTTCTCATTTGTTACAATAAACACCAATCAATTAGTCAAATCACAAATTATACTGCTATACTGTTATAGCCAATATATTTAAGTTTTTAAGCACCTACTGTGTGCATAAGGCTGTGCTAAATTTCTCCAAGGGGGAAACATCCAATGCTTGGTCCTGAAGGATAAGCACGAGTGTCTAAGCCAAGAGAATCTGAAGCTATTGGAGGAGCTAGCCTAGATGTAACCCGGGTTATCCATCCATGTTCTCTCTGAAATTGTTGCAGGAGTTAGCATAGTTACAACCTGAGTAATCCAGCCATGTGCTCTTGTAGAGCCATGCTCATCTTCTCAGAACTCTTGCTATGGTGGTTGGCTCTTATTTATCTTATTTGTTTCTGATACTATAAGGAAGACATAGAAATGAAGCCTGGTCCTTCACTGTGAACTCTGTGCTTGGTACTTGGCTTGACTTGCAAGGAGCTCTTATTAAAACTAGATTTAATAAAGAGAAGATTGAGTGGGACATAGATAAAAGAGAGAGTGCAGAGACTTTTGACATTTGTTCCTTTGTAGAATAATGTATACACTGCCCTCCTCTCCATTATAATATTCTATTACAATGAAACATTTCTCCAGTCACTGCTATAGCTGAAAAGCATTAAAAGGCTTTTTTGCATAGTAGGCATTCAAAACATACTATATGAAGGGAGCATGAAAGGAATAGATGGAGAAAGGGGGACTTTTGAACTTGTATTACCTGAAAGCATATCAGATAATATAAGATCAAAAGTCCCCCTTTCTCCATCTATATGTTTACTAACTGGCTGTCTTTCTCCTTTTACTGTCTTATTTTTCCAGGAGCAAGGTCTGCAGTGGGGTAGTCACTTGTGAAAAAGAGGAGTATGAGTCCCAAAAGAACATCTGTGAATCTCCAGTTCCTTGCTATTTCTTGCAAATGTGTTCCCAAACACATGAGTCTGAAAACAGATGATGTTCTCTCATTGTAGCCAGAGAAAATGACTTAGTGAAGCCATGGATGGAAGGAACACAGATATATTCTGATAAAGCTAGGAAGGCAAGAGATTGATTTGCCACTACAATGACTTCAAGGTTGGCCACCAGATGACAAGTTCCCTTTTGCCCCCTTTGACATTGCGATTAAAGTATCCAAATTGGAACCAGAACAAATGTGTTGGAGTCCCAACTCTGACACTTGCATAAGGCAAGTTATGATGGTTTGAACAATAATGGTACCTATACACTCATATATTTGAATATTGAGTACCCAGTTAGTGGAACTGTTGTAGAAATATTAGGAGGTGTAGTCTTGTTAGAGGAAGTGTGTCACTGGGGTTGAATGATTGAGGTTTCCCAAGCCAATGTCGTTCCCAGTTTTGTCTCTCTTCCTTATGCTTGTGCATCAAGATGTAAATTCCTAGCTGTTGTTCCAGCACTATGCCTGCCTGTCTGTTACCATGCTTCCAGCCATGACAGTTATA